CTCCGTCTCACCACCCCAGTCTCCGTCTCACCACCCGAGTCTCCGTCTCACCACCCCAGTCTCCGTCTCACCACCCGAGTCTCCGTCTCACCACCTCAGTCTCCGTCTCACCACCTCAGTCTCCGTCTCACCACCTCAGTCTCCGTCTCACCACCCAGTCTCCGTCTCACCACCCCAGTCTCCGTCTCACCACCTTAGTCTCCGTCTCACCACCCCAGTCTCCGTCTCACCACCTTAGTCTCCGTCTCACGACCAGTCTCCATCTCACCCCCACAGTCTCCATCTCACCCCCATAGTCTCCATCTCATGACCAGTCTCCATCTCACCACCCCAGTCTCCATCTCTCCGCCAGTCCCCTGGCTGGAGTGGCTGCAGCATCAGGGCCAGCAGTCCTGAGGCTGGCTGAGATTTACCAGCCTCAGTATCCCTGGTCTGGGTAGCAACGGGTGACTCTCCATGAAGACATGGGTGGGTGGTCCAGCGGGCTCAGTTGGTCATGGGGAAGGAGAATAAAGATTAAGGAGATATAGTGCTTCTTCATTTAAGTGAGATATAGCAGAGTATCGGGACCACAATTTCCAGGCAATTTTTGCTACCTTCTCCTACAACAGTGAGTTTTATACCCTTCTGGCACATGAAACTCTACTTGAAATCCAAACAGATAAAAGCAAAGCTCTGGTGATTAATAGGTCCTCCACACTGGTGCCCCAGGGATACCTTTTCAGAAAAGTAACTCCTGCCTCTCTGCTGAGCCTCTTTGGGCCCAGGAGACACCTCTCGATTTAAAGAACCCTTGTTTGACTCTCCCCAAGTTCTCACAGTCACTATCCTTGGCAGGAACTCGGTGTACAGTCAGAAGGGTAGCCTGGAGAGAGTGCCAAATGTGTTAGGGGGCTTGGACCTCCACCTCCTTCTCCTCCTCAATCCAGTTGTCCTGTGAGATACCAGCGAGGGCCTTGCTCAAGGAATGCCCTTAATCTCTTTGCTTTTTAAGAAAATAAGCAGAGTTGGACTGGAGAGAAGAGCTGTTGTTGTTGTGTGCTGTCCAGTCGATTCCAGCTCATAGCGACCCCATGTGACAGAGTAGAACTGCCTCACAGGGCTTTCTTGGAAACAGATCACCAGATCTTTCTGCCGTGGAGCCACTGGGTTGGTTCGAGCTGCTAACCAAACGGTTAGCCAAGCACTTAACCACTGTGCCGCTAGGGCTGTTTGGAGGAGAACTAGACCTCTGTTAATTAGGTCCCAGGACCTTGCTGAGAATATCTCAGGTCCAACCCCATCTGTGGCCTCTGTCTTCTCTTTAGGGACCTATAAGACTCTAATTCAATGCCAGAGCGGGGGACAGCTTTAAAACTTGAGCCCTTCTGACTTGGCAGAGGAGCCCTGATGGCTCAGTGGTTAAGAGCTCAGCTGCTAACCAAAAGGTCAGTAGTTCGAATCTACCAGCCGCTCTTTGGAAACCCTGACTTGGTGAACGTAACTCCCTGCCATTTCCAAAAAGAAGCTGGAAGCTGAGTTAGTATTCAGTATGAGACTTCCAAAGATAATTTGCTGTATTTAAGTATGTTGCTTCAGAAGGCTGTAAGCAGATGTTGTACTTTGAATTAGAAGCACTCTCCCATTTTCCCAGTCTTGTCTGTAGGTTTCATTCCTAGCTACAGGCAACATGTGGGAATTCTCCTGTGATCAAGAGTCTTAAACATGTTTAGGAACTGCCTGTACTCAAGAGGGAAACATTATGATCTTCAGTAATTTAAATGTCTCTACAAACACTGAAGAAAAGCTATGCAGATTTTGTGATGTAGGGATAAATTGAAAGTGCTTTTGGTTTCAGAAAGATGAATGGATATTCTCAGCCTGGTGCCCGTGTGTGTGTGTGTGTGTGTGTGTGTGTGTGTGTGTGTGTGTGTGTGTACATGAGATAGGGCAATTTTTTAAAAGAAGCATGTACACATGCACACATACTAATATTTGCAACCAAATTGAAGCATCGTGGCCAAGTGTGAACAGACTGTGATGCTGTCAGGTTTACCATCAGCCCATTGACAGCCCCCTTGGAAGACAGAAGGAAAAGGAAATGCAAAGATGAAACCACAGTGATGAGAGCACATTCCAAACAAATGCCTGGAAAAGGCTTCCGGTTTGGGCGTGTTCCTCTAGTAACGTGCTATGCAGAAGGGCAAAACTTTCCTGGCCTCTCAGAAGAGCTATTGTCCCCATCAGAAACAGGTGGCAAAAAACTGTCATTTAGACCCGGTTAGACCAGACGAAGGGGCTTCTGACTCCGTTCGTGTCCTCCACAAATAACCACTCGAAGGTGCACACAAGCTCTGATCAGCCGAAGGTGCGCGCGTTTGAGAGCTGAAAAGGAATCACCTACCAACTTCTTCACTTTTAATTAACATTCTGTCCGGATTGGCATAAATCTATCAGTTTTCACGCCTCCTTTCTCTTTCTGACCCTCCACCCTAAGGTTGGTGAGCGGCCAAAAGGGACTATCTATGCGGCTATCTTAAAACAACCCCAGTTATTTATAAGCATTTTAACAGCACATGATCTGTAATGAATGATTAAGTAAAACCTTTTGTGTTAAATTATGATGTTAATAATGCTTCTGTCTCCCATCATTTATTACGAATTCTCAAATGCTTCGGGTTTGATTTTGATAGAATGCAGCAACAGAGTTTATGTGATGACTTTATTTTTAGAACT